AAAACGAACTCCCTCTTACAAAGCAATTCACGGCTATGGTGGCTTAAAAATATTATTGGCCAGGAATGGGGGCTTATGCCTGGAAGACTGAGGGGAGAGGCTCACTTGAGGCCAAGAGTTTGAGACCTGCCTGGGCACATAGAGAAAGACCTCATCTCTACTAAAAAAAAAAAAAAAGCTGAGCATGGTGGAAAGCACCCGTAATCCCAGCTACAGGAACTACATTCTAGGGAGGGTGAGGAGGGAGTGTTGCAGGCCTCTTGGGGTGTTGCTTTTCTGGCCAGAGACCTGTGGTTGGTGGCACCTTTCCTCAAGTTTTGCTTAGGCCCTCTAGGCTCATTTTGCCCACTCAGCCTGGCAGATTGCACTCAGCTCATGCTACCAACCTGTATCCCATGTCTGCCAAGGGCAAGCCAGGCGTGGAGCAGCTTGGAGGTGTGTGAGTGAGCGAGTGTGGGGTCTGGCCACTGCACAGTCAGGCATGCTGGCTGCTGCAGTGGGGCAGGCAGTTCCAGGTGCTGGCACCAGCGCCAGCTCTCCATGAGGCTGCGGCTGGACCAGGCATACCACAAGCATCTTCCACAGCTGCCACTGGGAAATGCAGTGGCACCTGCCAGGCCCCAAAGAGGGAGTCACAGCCCTGGCTTGGGGAACTCCCAGGTCTGGGATCCCCGAAGGGCCACAGCTCTTCTCTTCACCCACAATGTGGTTAGTAAGGGGCATGTTTCAGCCCTGTTGATGTCACAGCTCTTTCAGCCCTGCCACTTGGTAGGTCCCACGTTCTCGTCCTGCATCCAGGAAGAATGAGGCACGTGGACAAGTGCAGGGTGAGCAAGGTGAAGAAGAGCTTTATTGAGTGACAGAATAGCTCAGAGGAGGCCCTGGAGTGGGTAGCTCCTCTGTGCAGTTGGTTGTCCCATCCTCTCTGCAGCTCTCAGCAGAGAGGAGGCCCTGCAGTGGGTAGCTCCACTCTGTAGCTGGTTGTCCCTGTGCCCACTCTGCTCTAGCTGAGCCCAGGGGTTTTATGGGCCACAGACGGGAGGAAATGTGCACTGGTTGGCCCATGGGTGGCCATGGGCAGGCCCAGAAAAGGCACCACAAGTTCCCACCTTGGTCAGTGGAAATGGCAGCCTGGCCCCCAACCTTCAGGCCCTCACTGGTCTGAAGGTGGGGCTTCACCAGGGACCTGTCCCCTTCCACCCAAGAACCTGTCTGCCTCCACTGCCATTCATGGTGCCCAGGCTATAGGTGCCAAGAGGCACCTTCAGGCCAGCACCAAGCTGCCCTCAGCATCCCATTCGCTTATGCTTATTGGCACCCAAAGTCTGAAGGCTGCTGAGGCAGCAAGGAACTGGTGTGTTAGCACTGCCTCAAGCATGTGCACCCAAACCAGGATGTGACGGCACCCAGGCTTGGCCTGACTTTGCCCGGAGATTGGAACAGGTGCCAATAGCAGGGAGAAGCCAGGCTGTGTGAGCCTGTGAGGGCTGGAAGGGCCTTCCCAGGCCCCCAAGAATGCAGGGATGCCCAGGTCCACAGCTGCAGCCATGCCCAAGATGGGGAGGGGGGCAAGGCTCCTGCCTGCTGTGTGGAGTGTGAGGCCACAACATGGGCAGCTGCAGCTGCACCTGGGGAGCTCCTGCCCCAAAACTTGAAAGGGGTGGGGCTCTCACTTGTCTGTGGCTCCCATGGGCTCTGTGCCATGTTAGCCCTGGCCCCTCCCTGCTGCAGCCAGTGTGATGGAAGTGGGCACTCCAGAAGGGCTACTGCTGCCGTCAGGAGAATCACTTGAGTTCAGGAGTTCAAGTTTGCAGTGAGCTATCATTATGCTATCACCTGGGTGACAGAGCAAGAAATAATAATAAAAAAATAGATAAAAATACTGTCTATAAATTGTTTGACATGCCTTTCTTCAAAAAATACTTCCTTCCCTTGGCTGCAGCCATGATAAAAAAGGAAACAAAATGATACCTAATTTCTCTCCTCTTTTGGGTGGGCCAGATTTTTTTTAAATTGCATTTTAGGTTTTGGGGTACATGTGAAGAACATGCAAAACAGTTGCATAGGTACACACCTGGAAGCGGGATTTGCTGCCTTCCTCCCCTTCACCTATATCTGGCATTTCTCCCCATGCTATCTCTCCCCAACTCCCCACCCCCTGTTGTCCCTCCCTTATTTCCCCCTAACAGACCCCAGTGTGTGATGCTCCCCTCCCTGTGTCTATGTGTTCTCATTGTTCAACACTCACCTGTGAGTGAGAACATGCGGTGTTTGATTTTCTGTTCTTGTGTCAGTTTGCTGAGAATGATGGTTTCCTGGTTCATCCATGTCCCTACAAAGGACACGAACTCGTCGTTTTTGATGGCTACATAATACATAATATTCCATGGTGTATATGTGTCACATTTTCCCTGTCCAGTCTATCATCAGTGGGCATTTGGGTTGGTTCCACATCTTTGCTATTGTAAACGGTGCTGCAATGAACATTCGTGTGCATGTGTCCTTATAGTAGAACAATTTATAGTCCTTTGGATATATACCTAGTAATGGGATTGCTGGGTCAAATCGGATTTCTATTTCTAGGTCCTTGAGGAATCGCCACAGTGTCTTCCACAATGGTTGAACTAATTTACACTTGGGTGGGCCAGATTTAATGACTTCCTTTTAATGAAAAGATGGCAGAAGTGTGAGACTTTCAAGATGAGGTCATAAAAAAACACTGAAGCTTTATTTTGTTTCATCTTGCATCACTTGCTCTGGGGAAAACCAGCTGCCATGTCATGAGAACACTCAAGCAGCTCTGTGGCAAGACCCAAGTGGCAAGGGACTGAGGCCTCCTGCCAACAGCCAGCCCCAGCCAGACATTCAGATTCTGCAGCCCCAACTGACATCTTCACTATAACCTGAAGAGAGGCTGCCAGAACTACCCAGCTAAGCTCCTCCAGAATTCCTTACCCACAGAAGCTATGTGAGATAATTTATTATGCGAAATAATAAATGTTTATTGTCGGCTTGGCATGGCGGCACATACCTGTAATCCCAGCACTTTGGGAGGCCAAGGAGGGCAGATCACCTGAGGTTGGGAGTTTGAGACCAGCCTGACCAAGATGGAGAAACCCCATCTCTACTAAAAATACAAAATTAGCTGGATGTGGTGGCACATGCCTGTAATCCCAGCTACTCAGGAGGCTGAGGCAGGAGAATCATTTGAACCTGGGAGGCGGAAACTGTGGTGAGCTGAGATCATGCCATTGCACTCCAGCCTGGCAACAAGACTGAAACTCCATCTCAAAAAAAATGTTTATTGTAATTTGAAGTCACTAAATTTTGAGGACATTTGTCACACAGCAATACATAATATATTAGGGCTCCTCAGGTCTTTAGAGAAGCCTGGATCCAAGGTGATATGCTCACCTGCATCCACTTGGATGAGTGCCTCCTTGTTCTCCCCTATGGAGTTTTCCTACTAGAATAATGGTTCCACTCCCTCTGCTCCCCAGGGGCATGCCTTCCATTGGGCTGGGTGCCTCAGCTGACGGGTCTCGTATACCTAAATTTAGTTTATGAAATGTAGTGTCTACTAAAAATACAAAAACTAGCAGGTGTGGTGGCATATGCACGATCTGATAGGTCTTGTATACCTGTAAGGAAGGGCAGAGCTGCTGGCTCCACTTAAAGCAGCAGGAGCCTGACAGGTTGTCATGCCATCTGCCATCTTCCTTCTCAGTCAACACAGGCGGGTTTCAGGGCATTGCTTGTCTACCCAAGGGGCAAGATGATCACCAACTAGTCTCGGCTGTTTGGGGACTCTCTGGTTCTTTTTTTTTTTTTATTTAATAGAGACAGGGTCTCCCTGTGTTGCCCAGGCTGGTCTCAAACTCCTGGGCTCAAGCAGTCCTCCCACCTTGGCCTCCCAAAGTGCTGGAATGACAGGTGCGAGCCACTGTGCCTGGCCTCTGGCTCTTTTCTGACTCCTGAAATGGGGTTCTCTCCAAACCTTTAGGTGGTGTGTACATTAATAACTGTGGGTTCTCTTTGTGGATTTAGGCATTGTTCTTTTTTTTTTTTCTGAGACGGAGTCTGGCTGTCACCCAGGCGAGAGTGCAGTGGCACGATCTCAGCTCACTGCAACCTCCACCTCCCGGGTTCAAGCAATTCTCCTGCCTCAGTCTACCAAGTACCTGGGATTACAGGTGCCTGCCACCATGCCCACCTAATTTTTTTGTATTTTTAGTAGAGATGGGGTTTCACTATATTGGCCAGGCTGGTCTTGAACTCCTGACCTTGTGATCCACCCGTCTCGGCCTTCCAAAGTGCTGGGATTACAGGCCTGAGCGAATTGTTCATTTTTACCACAAACAAAATAGTAGTGAGAGAGAGAGATGCTTGCCTTTCCTAAAGTGTCAGCAGCAATTTTAAGATCTTAAATAACACCTTCCCTGAGCTCTAGGGACTGGAAAGTGCTGCAGAGACTAGCCCCACCCTCTAAAACCCAGTTTCTCCCCACGTATGCCGGCCACCATTCTTTTTTTAATTGCATTTTAAGTTTTGGGGTACATGTGAAGAACATGCAAGATAGTTGCATAGGTACACACGTGGTAGTGTGCTTTGCTGCCTTCCTCCCCTTCACCTATACCCGGCATTCCTCCCCATGCTATCTCTTCTTTTTTTTTTTTTTTTTTTTTTTCAGCTGGAGTCTCACTCTGTCACCCAGGCTGAAGTGCAGTGGCGAGATCTCGGCTCACTGCAACTCTACCTCCTGGGTTCAGGCGATTCTCCTGCCTCAGCCTCCTGAGTAACTGGAATTACAGGCATGTACCACCACGCCCAGCTAATTTTTGTATTTTTAGTAGAGATGGGGTTTCACCATGTTGGTCAGGCTGGCCTCGAACTCCTGACCTTGTGATCTGCCTGCCTCAGCCTCCCAAAGTGCTGGGATTACAGGCATGAGTCACCGCACTGGCCTCTTCTCTTGAAAAAAAAAAAATTAAAAATCTTAAAGTTTTATGGGACACTTTATAGATCTTAGTGTCATCCTTGAGCACAGACCATGCTAATCTTCTTTGCATTGTTCCAATTTTGGTGCACGTGCTGCTGAAGCAAGCAGAAGAGGCCACCATTCTTTCTCTTTTCTTTTCTTTTTTTACTTTTTTGAGACAGTCTTGCTCTGTCGCCCAGGCTGGAGTGCAGTGGTGGGATCTCGATGCACAGCAACCTCCGTCTCCTGGGTTCAAGCGATTCTCCTGCCTCACCTTTCTGAGTAGCTGAAATTACAGGTGTGCGCCACCACACCTTGACAATTTTTGTATTTTTAGTAGACATGGGGTTTCACCATGTTGGCCAGGCTGGTCTCCAACTCCTGACCTCAAGTAATCCACCTGCCTCAGCCTCCCACAGTGTTGGGATTACAAGCTTTAGCTACCACGCTCGGCCAGCCGCCACCATTTTTATAGCAGATTAAGAGATGTGCCAGTTTGAGAGGACTTTGAGGGGCCCTCCCATCCCTCCCAAAGTGTTAGGATTACAGGTGTGAGCCACCATTCCCAGCCCTCAGCTCTAATTCTAGCCTAGGGTTTGTATTCAGTCCTCAAGTAGATATGGGATACCTGGAATTCTAAGACATCCTGGCTGAGCTACCCTTGAGCCAGAAATAGCTGTACAGTAGCTTTACTATCGTATAATTCAATGTTATTTCTGTTGTTAGCCTCCTTCATCTGCAGTAGTGAAACCCAGTTTCAGTGAAGCTGGTTTCCTCGGCGCTAAGTGATGCCTACATTCTCAGGGGACTCAGCACAGCACACGCCCCCCGCCTCAGGAGGCACGTGAGCTTTGTCATCTACCCACACCACGACCCTTGACTCGTCCTCTCCCAGACAGGGTGGAGTTCTCCCTTGTTCTCACCTGTCCGGTTCCTTCATGTCTGAAGGTCCTCTGACCTGCGGGTCTGTGTCAACCTTGAGCATGTAGGAAATGCTGGGGCAAGAAAAACTAAGCCTGACTAGGGCTGTCGCCATGCTGTGCTGTTGTGGAGCGTGCAGGGGTCGGCACAAACTTGTTCTCTAGGAGCACACGCTGCATCTGAACTTGTAATGTGTGTTTTTTTTTGAGACGGAATTTGGCTCTTGTCGCCCAGGCTGGAGTGCAGAGGTGGCGCTCTACAACCTCCCCCTTCCAGGTTCAAGTGATCCTTTTGCCTCAGACTCCCGAGTAGCTGGGATTACAGGCGCCCACCACTACACCCAGCTACTTTTTTTATTTTTAATAGAGATGGGGTTTCACTATATTGGTTAGGCTGGTCGTGAACTCCTGACCTCAGGTGATCCAACCACCTCAACCTCCCAAAGTCCTGGGATTACAGGTGCCTGCAACCACACCTGGCTAATTTTTGTATTTTTTTTTTCATTTATTTATTTTTTACTTTACTGTCATCTCTAAATGCCCATAATTTTTGTATTTATTTTTTAAAGTCATGTTTATTGAAGTATGATTTTACATTCAGTAAAATCCATCCTGTTAAGATTTGACAAATGCATAATCATACCATAAGCAAGATGCAGAACAATTGTGCAGTCACTAACAATTCCCTCCTGTCCATTTGCAATCAACCCCTTTTTGATCCCAAGGAACTCACTGACCTGTTTTTCTGTCAAACGTGTCAAATTTAATCACTAAAATGATCTACAGTACTATGGAAAAATGTATAAGCACATAAAATACACAAACCAATTTTTTAAAGACGTGAGATACTTTAAAAAGTTTCTTTAGCATACCAACAGAAAATGAAGGTGGCATTGCATTTTACTGTAGATGTGCGGATATTCACCAAAGTCCACCATTGGCATATATATGGCTCAACAGTGATGTTTAAGAATACACTGGGTAGGCGTGGTGGCTCATGCCTGTAATCCCAGCACTTTGGGAGGCCGAGGTGGGTGGATCACCTGAGGTCGGGAGTTTTGAGACCAGCCTGGCCAGCATAGTAAAACCCCATCTCTACAAACATTAGCCTGTAATCCCAGCTACTTGGGAGGCTGAGGCGGGAGAATCACTTGAACCTGGAAGGCAGAGGTTGCAGTGAGTCGAGACTGAGCCACTGCACTCCAGCCTGGGCGCTAGCGAGACTCTAACAAAACAAAGATGTGTAAAAATACAAAATTAGCTGAGTGTGGTGCTGCGTGCCTGTAATCCCAGCTACTCAGGAACCTGAGGCAGAGAACGGTATCGGGAAGCAGAGGGTGCAGTGAGCTGAGATTGCACCACTGTACTTCAGCCTGGGAGACAAGAGTGGAGGTTTAAAAAAAAAAAAAAAAAAAGGAAAAAAGAAAAAAAACACTATACTGTAAAATAACAATCGTAACCATCTTTAGAGTTAAGTCATCTCTTTTTTTTTTTTTAATCTAAAATTTTTTTTTTTTAAAGGCGGGGTTTCACCATGTCTTTAAATTCAAGGAGTTCAAGGCTGGTCTTGAACTCCTGACCTCAGGTGATCCGCCCGCCTTGGCCTCCAAAGTGCTTGGATTACAGGCGTGAGCCACCACACCCGGCCTAAGTCATATCTTTTTTGAGTATATGAACCACGATTAAGGTATTGCTCTTTGGTATTAACATTGTCAGGTTACAGACCACAGCTGGTTCATAGAAACAGTACTTTAAATAATGAAATTAAATTCCATAAAAATTTCCTACAGGATCAACTCAACTATAAGGCAGAGACACAAAACAGTCAGGCAATGTTCTTATAGATGGTTGGGGCCCTCTCCAAATTCATCCTGCTACCACTATGAAAAGAACAACCAAAAAAAGCAACCTCTATTCTGTAGATACTAAAGGTAACATATCCAAATATGTCTCATCTACTTGAAAAGCTTCACTGATTCTTTCAAGGGCCAGACCTTAAGTTCATCAGCATCTTGAAACCACCACGCCCAGTCACACGCCACGGCCGAAAAGCAATTTTTGTATTTTTAAGAGATGGGGTTTCACCGTATTTGTCAGACTGGTCTTGAACTCCTGACCTCTCGTGATCCACCCACGTCAACCTCCCAAAGTGCTGGGATTACAGGAGTGAGCCACCCCGTGCCCAGCCATGAACTTGTAATGCTGCTGCTTCACTGCCTCTTCCAGCCCAGGAAGCCTTTATTTGCTCTGAGTTCAGGGAGTCCTGTCTCACTCAACATCAGATACTCTTACAAATCTATTTTCTTGTGTTGAGTTTGTTCTGTTCCTTTCTGAAAGGTCGATTTTCGAAACTCAAAGCCTGAAATGAACTTCTTTTTCTTCTCGATGAACCGTTTCCTGAAGGAAGAAATGGAGAATGCCCAGATGACTAAACAGGGAAAGGACCACATAATCCAAGGATAGGGTAAGATATTGGTTAAGAGTTTTTAAAAACTTACCCTATCACACATACGCGATGTCACTAAGTCCTTTCAACAATTTTGTGAGAAATAGCTTCTATTTTATTGTTTAGGAGATTCAGAGAGGTTAGGCTACACAGCTAGAAGCAGAATCTGGCTGGGCACAGCGGTCCACGTGGGCCTGTCATCCCAGCTACTCGGGAGGCTGAGGCAGAACTCCTTGAAACAGGTTGCGGTGAGCCGAGACTGGGCCACTGCACTCCAGCCTGGGTGACGGAGCGAGATTCCGTCTCAAAAAACAAACAAAACAAAACCAAAAATAGAAGCAGACTTGGAATCCGTGTCTATCTGATTCTAGAATCCTGTCCATGCCAACTCACATACGATACCTACAGACAGTTAAAAGTTTAACCTGAGAGGCCAAAATGGGAGGATCACCTGAGGCCGGGAGTTCAAGACCAGCCTGACCAACATGGTGAAACCCCATCTTTATTTAAAAAAAAAATTGAAAAGTGTAACCTGAGTGTTCCCATTTTTATCAGCCCAGGGGTGCAAATGTCACATAAGCACATACCCACAATTTTGCAGGCAGGTCACCCCTCATTTGCTCACACAGAACCTCAGCTTCCTTCAGAATGCCCCCTGAAAAGATTCTTTAGCTATCCAAGAACAAGCCTCCTGTACTGAATGCAGCCACTCTCTTCTGTCCTCCTTGGCAGGAACCGACACAAACATGTATTCTGCTGCTTGCTGCGCCATGGTCATAAAGTCCTTCTTCTCTCACCCGGAATTTGATGTCTTCTGCCTACATGCAGAAGCGGTAACAGGCTAACTTATTAGCTTGTGAGTAGGGTAGATCAAATCCTGTGCCTGACACATGGCAAGGCTTGAGGCCAGGTGCTATGTGGTGGCAACCACAAGAAGCTGTTCAGACTCCAGGCAGAACCGGCTGCTACAGGCCAGCCCCAGTGGCTCCCGCCTGTAATCCCAGCACTTTGGGAGGATGAGGGAGGAGGATTGCTTGAGCCCAGGAGTTTGAGACCAGCCTGGGCAATATATAGGGAGATCTTTTTTTTTTTGAATGAAGTCTCGCTCTGTTGCCCAGGCTGGAGTGCAGTGGCGTAATCTCCATTGCAACCTCTGCCTCCCAGGCTCACGTGACTCTCCTGCCTCGGCCTCCCACGTAGGTGGGATTACAGGCTCTCCCGACCACCCCTGGCTAATTTTTTTGTATTTTAGTAGAGACAGGGGTTTCACCATGTTGCCCAGGGTGGTTTCAAACTCCTCAGCTCAGGCAATCCACCTGCTTCAGCCTCCCAAAGTGCTGGGATTACAGGTGTGAGCCACCATGCCCAGCCAATATAGGGCAATCTTGTCTCTACCAAATATTTTTTCTTAATTAGCTGGGCCTGGTAGTGCATGACTATGGTCTCAGCCACTTAGGAGGCTGAAGTGGGAGGATCATTTGAGCCAGGAGTTCGAGATTGCAGTGAGACGTGATCGCCTCATGGCACTCCTCATGGGCAACAGAGGGACGGACACCTTTTCTCTAAAAACTAAAAGGAAGAACTGGTTGCTGTAGCATGAGAAGGGAGGTGAAGTGTTGGAAATGGGTTCTCAGTGTCGCAAAGAGATCTCTTAGCAAGGCCAGTTTTACTTTCTGCAGAAAGGGTGCCGCCCGAGAGCGGTCTTGCCATGAGAGCACGCTTGGACAAAGGAGACAGGATTATTTATGACCTGATGCAT